AAATTAAATGTAGGTGAAATCGGGTTGTGTTATGCAGGAGGCGGCTCCCTCTCAGCACAAACTGGATTATATTTAGAATCATAGAATCATAGACCTTTAAGATCATCGAGTCCAACCGTTAACCTAACCCTGCCATCCCACCACTAAACCATGTCCCTAAGCACCTCATTTATCCTCCTTTTAAATACTTCCAGGGACGGGGACTCGACCACCTCCCTGGGCAGCCCCTTCCAGAGCCTGACAATCCTGCAGGTACTGCAGCCTGCTGGCCAGGATCCCAGCCTGAGCCTGTGCCTACCCTCACCCAAGCACACTTTCTGGAGGGAGGCTGCTGGTCCCAGCGGGGTGCACGGTGCCGTGGGGAACCAGCCCACTCTCCCCACCAGAGCTGGATGAAAGGGCTGGCAGACTCTCAGCCTGCAAAGCTGGTTAGAGATGGTGCTCCTTCTCATGCCCCTGGGAGAGGACAGAGTCCAGCAGGACAGGGGTTTGGCTGCACGGTGTGTTTTCTGCAAATGGGAAATTGTAAACGGTGTCACATTTGCTATAGGAGGCACAGCAGTGGCACCGTTTCATCCTGAAATGCTGAATCTTCTTTGCTGGCTTCATGACACCTGGGTTTGCACCGTCTTGATATGACACCAAGCACACAGGCTGAGCCCTTCGGGGAACCTGCTGCTGGCTCCGGCACCTTGCTCAGGACGGCTCAGCTCTACAAGCCAACCGGGCACCGAAGTCTACAGCTTTGGAGGCTCCTGGGTCCCTGGGTGCAGCTCCTTGCACTAGGATTAAGCAAGATGACAAGTGCAAGAAAAGCAAAGTTGTCCCCAAGTTTATTTATGGAGGAATATTTTCTCTGATGAACCTCGAGCATTCGCGGCCCTTGAAGTAAGTCATTCCCCGAGCACTAAACCAAGCGCAAACCAGCAAGGAAGAATTTAAAAAGGAGACAGTTCACAAGCAAAGGTCACCGAGGAGAGCAAATGCCACCTGAGCCCAGGTTATAACGAAGCCTTTTTCCGGTGGAACAAATGAAGTCCCTTAATTACCATTTTGTAAATAAAATCTTCTTGGAAAATCAATATTTAGAGCCTGCCTTCTCTGAAGATGTTGGCCTTTGTTCCTTGCTATTACAGCAATATAAACCCCATAGTGATATACTTCTAGGCCGAAAATTACCCCCCTGAACCTGATTGGGTCAAAGGAAGAAAGCAATAAACCTTTCAGAGCAGTAATTCGGGTACTATTTCATGCTTCCTTGTAAATTTTGAAGAAATAACCAAGAAAGCATGATTTTACACAAGCCCACAATTAACTCGGCCAGTAACCGCTCCTTCCTCCTGCAGGCAGCTTTTGGGCCAGGCTGGTGATGCTGGGTGGGAATTTTGCTGGAAATGCCCATTGCACCTCTCAGGCATTTGGATCATGATTAAGCTGAATCACCCCAGGAACAGTACGGGCAAAATGGCATCTCTGCTCAACGGAGAGGGTCAGACCCCGTGGCTGCTGGACATGGGGATGGCTCCACCAAAGTCAAAAAGGGTCCATCAGCTTCTCCATCCAAGAGCGTGGTCCAGCGCAGCAACACCCTGACAGCTATTGGCTCCATCCCCAACCCAGGGATCGCATGGCAAGACAGCCCCATCGTCAGCTCCTTCAGTGATTTTTATTCACAGCTTTTAATGGAAAACCCCACAATTCCCTACGCCTGAGCCTTCATGCATTTTTCATTAACAATTATCCGCTATCCCAGAACTGCTTTTGATTTTTGCTAATCACCGATTGGATATTTTGTTCCCACACAGCTGGCATTTTCAAAACATAACAACCACCTCTGGAGAGGGCACAGCAGAAGGCTGATCTTTAATGCTAATGTGCCCAGAAACCGTCAACACATCAGGTGATGAGAATTCACATCTCAGGGACCACGAGGGAAGAAGTATTTATTGGATGCAGCCTGTCAGGCTTATTTTACTGTGCTGAAAGGCTGGAAGTTGCTTAGCAAGTGACCGTCCAAAGCACCAGCAGCCACATCCATTCTGCAGTGAATCCCATCCTGAAGCTGCTGTCCCATCTCAGCGACGACGGGCTTCTGAAGTCCCCTCATCTTGAGGGTTTGCTCTCCTTGGGTTTGCAGTTACTGCATACGAGAGACAGCCCGGGGTGATGTAGATGCCAAAGGGCCCTTCACAACTTCGTGAAGCAATAGTTTGATGGCCAGATCTTCCCATCGGCTGTGGGTTTGGGCAACCACACTACTGCTGGCAGCCGTGATGCCTCAAGCGGAGGCTGTGCTTGCAAAGCTTGCAGGAGCAGAGCGGCACCTCGAACGCACCGTCTTCTGCAGGCCTGGACCTCACTTCTAGTTGTGTTCATTTACAAGAACAAAGTTGCTTGTAACGATATGTTTTGCAATCAATTAGCACATGATATGATTTGGGATGATTTACTCTTTTTTTCTAAAAACCCCTTTGGGGGCATTCAGACCTTTATTGCCATATTAAGCAGAGTTTTAATCCAAATGAATTTTCTAGGAAACCATGTAATCTAATTAAAAAGCTCATGGTGCAGTTTAGTAGCTTCATTACTAGTAGATTCAAGATCCATCTTTACACGGACAAACATTTTCCAAGTGCAATAGACTGATAAATCCAAGGCATAGTTGCAAACTGATTCTGCCTGGAACTAAGTGGGTTACAGCACTTAATCATGCCCATGAGAATGAAACAAAGGACAATGTGAAAAAGCTCAGAAGAAAAACCCAGCCTTGTTTCCTGCAATTCACGGAGCACCCAGCCCTGCTGTACCCGTGAGGGCATTTTTCAGACTGACAGATTGGGAAACCACCAGGAATGGCCACTTGCCTGAAGTTGGGGGTCAGAGTAGACCAAGACTAGTGTGAAAGAAGCCAAAAGTTCAACATCATCAAGTACAACGGCTTTAGGGCTCAGCTTTACAATCACGTTACCATAGCTGGAGGAGATGCCACGTCTCAGCTGAGCCCCAGTAACTGGCTGAGCTCCCCTAGCCTGCGCCAGATGCAATGTAATCTGATCATTTAGCTCACGGTGGAAAAGGCTGACGCTAAATTGCATTAAATGATTGCCATAAGAAAACGATTACAGCAACGTTCGCCAAGTCGCTGTTCACGTGCACGTGTAGCGCAGCTCCAGGCGCAGGGACCTGGCCAGCAGACACGATCATGACCAAAGACCCTACTTCTACCTTCCCCAAACAGCAAAGAGGAACGATTTCACAGGCAAGACATTTGTGCGAGACGCAGAGCTGGACTCAGTGTGAATTTTGTCATGGATTGAAGGACCGCTTGTAAAGTCTTTGGTCACTTCTGACTCCGCTTCCTGGTCAATAAAAGGGGATGTACTCTCTTCCCTTCTCCCATTTCTGCTCTGTTCATTTTGTAAAGGCAGACATGCCTCAAAACCCCATGCAATGAACTAGAAGACCACAAGCCTGGGTCGAGTGGCATCTGTAGGTGCACACAAAAAGTCCCCTGAAGCTCTAAAAAACTTCCAGCTCGGAGAAGGGGCCACTGACTGAGAAGATTTTATTACAACTCACACCTTATCCTTCTTGCAAGGCATATACTTTCACCCTTCATATAACAAAGCTTTAAAAAAAGCCTCAAACCTGACAACAAAAAGCTGTATTATAGTGAAACTTAGAAAAACAAACCCACTCTTCTCCCCTGAGGACCAAGCCACGGTGCCTGCACAGCACTTCAGTCTCAACTGAAGGTCAGCAGGGTTGGGTAGTTGCATTCATGAGACGCATTTGTTAATATAGACAGCAGCTATATGACACCATAAAGCACAAATCTCCACCAATAATTTAGGTTTACAACACAGGTACTATTATTTTTCAGTATATTGTTCCATGCTATTTCCATAGAAACTATGTTGTCAACTTCTAATTTTCACACTAAGTGCATCCCACCGTATCATTTCCTCAGTGCAAACATCCCTATCCCCTCGCACGAAAATGCAGTTATTTAGTACTCAGAGAAAACACTCTTCCCCGGTGAGATAAAAGGCTGAAGCTTAGTGAAAGTCAGCTTCCACGCAAGTATTATTTCAAATGTATTTGCATTTGCACCCCCAGGCAGGTCAGTGTTGAGGGGTTAAAGCGCGGTTCCTCCACTGCGGGGTGCGTGTGGTCCCTGCCAGCTCCAGGGACATTTGGTCCTTCCCGATATACCCAGATGATGATCAGGACAAAAGAGAAACTTTTCCTGGGTTCCTGCATCATCAGTCAAAGTCTAACGCTGACGCCCTGGTACAATAAAGCACAAAGCACTGAAATGTAAGCCGACAAAGCGCAGCCAGTAGGACCGGAGCAGTGTTTTAGTGTATCAAAGCTCAAGCTGAATCCACAGATCTGCTTCTGAACATTACCAACCTTCACATTCGCCCTTTGCTAATGCAGAAGGAAAGCCAACATCTCTCCCATTTCCCTTTCTGCTGGAATCCAGATAGTTCAAAATAACAGCTTTTAATTTGGCCTCTCTCAAAAGCAGGGGCAGGGAGCACTGCGTGACAGCAACCCACCTTGCCTGCCAAAGCCGAGCCGGCTCTAAAGCACTCCCTTTACAGGGCGCTCAAGCAGCAGGGCTGCAGTCTCTCCAGATCACTCCTGCCTCAAGCACGTGAGCCATGGCCCAACGCAACAGGGCTACGGCAAAAGCCGGGCTTGCACAGCTCACCAGGACGTGCTGCAGACCCCACCGACCGGTCCAGAATGAACTACCACACACATCCACCCCAAATCCGCCGTCTGCGCAAAAGCTGAAGCCTGTGCGAGCTGACTCGCTCTTTGCCCAAGAATTACACCTGCAGGCACAGCTATTTCTGGGCCATCAGGAAGGCGATGTCAGTCCTCCACTTGGGGTAGCTCCAGACTGACGCCAGGGAACGGCACAACCGCGCTGTGTGTCTCACACCGCCCCGTGCTGCAGTGCCAGCAGCCAGCACACCAGGACTTACCTGTTGTTATTCTTCAGCTTAATGTGGTCGCTGGTCTCCAGGATCTGCCCATTCCTCAGCCAAGTGATCTGGGGGGGGGGTTCCCCTTGGGCCACGCACGTGAAGATGGCAGTAGTCCCCACAGGCCTGGAAATGGACTGGGGATGCTGCACAAATTCTGCAGGGGCTGCAAGGAGGAAGGAGAAGGAGGGTGAGAAAAGGCACACGACGATCCCACCTTACCCTGGTACAAGAGCTTGGGCTTCAGTAAGCCTCGTCTGCCTGGGAACACGGGATGCTTGGCCAACCCACAGCACAGGCAGCAGATAACTATGGTTTGGCGGTGTGTCTGTAATCAGTGTGATGCTGTGATTTGGTTGCCCATCCTGGCAGTCACAGCTTCACAGAAGGCACCTGAAGCTCAGCTCAGGACTGAGCCGAGGGGAGTCCTGCAGGGTTGTGGCAAACAACATCAAGGTCTAAGCCCCCTCACCTCTCCTTGGTCTCCCACTGAAAGCAACCCCAGTGCTACAAAATATTCCATATCTGAAAAAAGTTACTTAAAAATGCATCCTGCCCATGAGGGGAACAGGCTGGAAGGTCAGCAGTCTCCGGCCATTTGCACATACGTAAAACGGAGAGCGTGCATAACCCTTCCGTGGCACCACGCAGGGTCACCACCCTGGCAGAAACGAGCCCTCTGCTACAGAGGCTTGCAAAAATCAGCACATATTGACAGTGAAAAGAGCGGTGAGGAAGGAAGGCTGCGACGACGTGTGGCAATTACAGTACTTGCGGTTGGGGAGATCTGCTGTTTCATCAGTGGCAGAGCTAGAGCAACGCCCGGGCTTTGCCCAAAGGACACCCTACGGCATTAGCAGACCGCTTGCAAGTGGAATGAAATGTATGGATGTGCATACAGCTGTCTGGCAGGTTGTTCTTTCCCCAGTAAATAGCTGATTTGCTGTGGACTGTCCTGGTAGCAATAGATTGGGGAGCCTTTTTTACCCCAGATCTGCAGGCTGGGACCCTTGGGGTCCTGCCAAGCCTGGCAGAAGACTCCCTCATCCCTGTAACCACAGCTCACCTTGTAATCAAACGTTTTCACCTTTAACAATAACATTTTTAAACGGAAAGTGATTTCCCCCCTTCCAGCAGCTCGACATAGATTTAAAATCATTTATCAGAATAAAACACCTTATCGGCCTACAGAAAGCAGGGCCTGAAAGACACTGCCAAATTGGTGAGTTTATTCAAGCAGTTACGCTTCAAAGGGCAAAGTGATAAATATACCCCACGTTGCTGCTGAAACCTAAAATCAGGTGGAACTGGCGGCAGCCGCAATGAAGACAAACAGACGAGAGGCACAGGCCCGTAATAAATTTACCGACCAGCGTCACATAATGGATGGCTGGCGTTACATTTTCCCCCCCCAAAAAAAGCAAGATTATCCATGGAGACACGCTCAGTGCTATTTGCCGGCATTTTCCAGGCATGGGGTTGGTGGGCTCTGCCACCAGCAGAGATACGGAGATGGCAGAAGGGAGCAAACTGGTCTAGCAAAATGTCTTGAGGTGGGAGCGGCTGTGCAAGAGCAGAAACTTATGGTTCATGGCCAAAAAAAAAACCCCTCAGGGTTTGCTGCAGGAGAGCGGGGTGATAAAGCTCTTCCCCAGCTGCGTGCATGCGAGGGGGGAGCATCGCTACTGCTACAACAGGGCCAAGCCGCAGCCAAAGGTGCTTGTGTCTAAGAGCGAAGCCATGCACGTTCTAAGTCCTGCAAGCAGAAAGCCACAGAAATTTATTGAAGAGCCCATCTACCCCGAAGGAGCCCTCGCCTTCATTTTTAATAATCAAAGGGAAGCGGAGCATGGCAGGTCTGACTTACGTTAGTGGTAGGGGGTGTCCGCCAGCAGAGTTTATTGTCAGGCCACTTCTGTCGGCGCTCGGGTCTGCTAATGAACCTGCAGCAACCTAATGGATACATATTTCCAGAACCTCCTGCTAAACTTCCCCATGCACCAATCGATCCCTTGTCCTTTTCTTTCCCTCCTACATTGTTCCCCCACTAGACTTATAAATTAAAATAAGATTCGGGATGGGTTCAATAAAAGTTGGAGGCATGGATAAACAGGGGGAAAAGCCCCTCATCCCTGCGGTGAATGGTCCCTTTGTGGCATACAGTGAGAGCATTAGAAACTTGATTTTCAAGACTCCCTTAACCTCCCGCCCCCCGCTTTGTGCTGGCACAGTTTTGCAGGAGCAATTATTTTGCAAGTGGCTGTGCACCTCCCTGCTTTCATCTGGGCTCACGAGTTGCACCCGCGGTACTCGCAGGTGCAAACCCACGATGCCAAGGGAGGGCACAGCCACCTTCCAGCTCCTTGCTGCAGCTTCATTAAAGACCCCGCCGCTTGGCTCTTTGCCTCTGCCTCCCCCTGGCTTCCCCGAATCTCAAACCTGCCATTTGTTCCCGCAGAAACGAAGTTTAAATATGGAAAGAAGCACCCGGCGTAACCCTTCTGGAATTGCCGGCGCTCCTTATCCTCCCTTATTAGCCCGTGTCAAGAGGGAGTAATTGGAGCGGTGTCGCGTGTGACTTGGGGGTAACGAACGTGCAGCTGCAGCCGCTGGCTCGGCGCCAGCGATGCTATTCAGGACCGTGGCCCCTCGGGTTCCTTGGGTCCCTGCTCCCCTCCGCCGTCCCTCCTCTCTGCTGCCGCGCTAAACACAACCAGAGCAAAACCTCGGCCCCTGTTTAACTTGCTTAAACTCTCCGGGGAGCAGGCGGCCACTCCTTCAAATGGCTCCCACCTCCGCTGCGCAGAGCTGTCCCTGCTCAGTGGCATCCCTTGCTGCAGGACACGGGATGCCTTCCGCTGTTCCTGCTCCTCCTGCTTTTCTCCACGCGTTGCTCGGTCCCATTCAGGTCTCACCCTACCCCTTTTGGTGCAGAAGGAACAGCAGCGTGGAGCTGTAGAGCAAAAGGGCCCAGGCTACAGCAGAAACCCATGGAGTTAAAAGGCTCCTTGTCCCCATCACCAGCTTCCGACAGCAGCAGAGAAAGGACATGGTCCAGGTGCCACCACGATCTTAACACAGGGACAGATACTGCTGCAAGGAGATGCCTCTCTGCTACCCCGGACCAGGGTGTGCCCAACCCGGGCGTTCGTGCCACGGGGCAAATGGCTCCTTTTCTGGACAGAGAACGTCTGCTCTGCTCCTCCCAGGTCCTCTCCCTGCCCTTTCGAATGATTTCAACAGGAACCGAGAGTTTACCACCTCTGGCCCTGGGCTAGCAGGAAAGGAGCAGAAGCCAAGCCCGGCCTTCAGCCAAGCCCCCCCCCCCATCATTCATAATTAATAGAGCATCTTGTCGGTGCTCATCTCGCCCTGGACGGAGGCGCAGAGCCTCTCCCCCCTCCCCACTACCTGCCAAAAAGGCTACCACAGGCGGTGAGAGGAAGCGTTTCTCAGCCCTCCGTGCAGACCTTAACGAAGATATTAACGAAGATCACTCTTAAGAGCAGAGGATTCAAACCTGGCAAGGAGGAGCAGGCAGGATCGAGCCCTGGCTTGTGAAGTATGAAGAAACCAGAGCGTTGATTATTCAGGACTTAATGGGAGGGAGGGGATCATGCAGTTTTAATGAATATTTAAAGGCGTGACATTGGTATCAAAAAGCAATAATGCTTAATGACACCCCCAGAATCATTAACGAAGTGCTTCAATAGCTTTTACTGTGCTCAACAAACTGTGATAGCATGAAGATGCACTGTAACAGCGGGTTGTGACGGGAGGCCCGGACGGGCTCCATCTCTTTTGGGACATCTCATCTCAGCAGTGCCCGGCCACCAGTGCGTCCCCCGAGCTAACGGGGAGCTCTGCTGCCCTGGCCATGAGTTTGCGGCGTGGTGCTCATTGCAGCGCCTGAGAGCTCACCGAGCAGGGCTGTCCAGGATCGGGGAGCGCTTGCTCCCCAATCCTTGCTCCTTGCTCCTCAGTATGAAGCCGTTATTAATTCTCAAGTAGCCAGGGTGGCAGTGTGAGGGAGGGAGGCTGGGGTGAGGAGGAGGAAGAATAACATAGAAACAACAAAACCTCATCAATTAGGCTACCAGAATCTACAATAAGGGTATAAAGCAGAAGACAGGTCAACGGGGAAGTCAGTCAAGCACAGCATCAGATGACAGGAGATTTAAGACAAAGAACTGCTGCCCGCTTGGCTTCTCTCTATTGACTACAGAGGATGCCCAGATGCTTACGTAAGTAACTTAAAATAGTTAAGCTGTCGAGCTGGTGGGATTGCTAGGACCAAAGATGGAACCCATGACCGTGTCCCCTGGGAAACAGGCAGAGACCACACAAGGAGGCTGTCGTGGAGACTGTCCCTCAGCCCTCGGTGGGTATCACGAACTTCTTGTCCCAGCAAGGTGCAGGCTGGAGCTCCGCAGCAGTGGGACGTGTTCCCACATCGCCTACAGGCATGATCCTGGGAGGATGCTCCGGAGGGCTCAGGCAGCCCAGCTCACCCCAGCATCACGATGGATGAGATCCCAGTGCCCACCTCTCCCTGCGTGGTGGCTGTTCTTGAGAAGGAAAACGGGGGCAGGACAGGGACTGCTCCATGAGGCACACCGACCCATGCAGCAGGTACTGAAGCTGGTTTTGCAGCATGAATTTAGGGCTAAACTCAAGGGCAAACGAAGTACTGCAGAGCCAAGCCTAAACCACAGCAACTGCAATACATCTGCTGATGAATTCAACCCTGCAGCCAAGGCTTGCGATGCCAGCGAGCAAGAACGATGGAAGAAACATCAGGAAACGCAGCGGTGGCCGGATCTGCTGGACCACGGAGCGCTGCCTGGTTCTGCCGGCAGAAAGCAAGGCGAACAAGGCAGTCATTGTCAGCAGAGCCTTCAAAAACATGTCCTTAAGATGGGCACTCATTTATGAGATGGGATCTCATTTTTCTGCATAGCTTTCAGGAGGAAATGAAGCGTGGAGTGGAGAACACTGGTGACCATCTGGCCATTCACAGCCCATCAGTTTGTTATGACACCAAACACATAATAAAGCACAAAAGATTGCACAGGAGGTAGAGAGAAAGCGCTTTGATATATTTTTTTTTTCCTTGCCACCGAAGCCTGCTCTTCCCTTGCACCACACGCACGCACACCCTCCGTTTCAGCCGGCGATGCATTCGGCCCGTCGACAACTCCCCCCGTGAGACTTTCATTCGCAGCCCGGCACAAAGCAATATTCAAATGGCTGTGCTGGGATCTGAAGAGAAAATGGAAACTTTCTTGTGTGAGAACCTTACAAAAGAGATCAAAGGAGCCTAAATGGCCAGGGGAGGGCAGGGAGGGAGGGAGCGGGGGATTGACGCCTTCTCCTCTGAAGGGAGGAGGAATTCCCAGGAAGATAATAAGACGGCGTTAGATGATCTGAAGGAGAGCCTGCAACATAAAAGGACATTACTGCTGGAGCAAGAGCAGAGCCCTGCACCAGGGAGTCTCTGCCCACACAGCTGCCGGGACGGGGAGGAGGACCACCGCTGGCAGCAGGAGGGTGGACCTGGTCTCGGTCCCAGCCTCCCGCTAACTCCCTGCCTTACAACAGGAAGCATTGCCCTTTCTCCCCTGGTTTCCCACCTATAAAACCTGCCTCCTTCAAAAGACGAGGGGCAAGTTAATTTGTGCCTCCAGGCACTTCAAGGGCCCCCGCATAAAGGCAGCAAGTACCTGGCCTGGCGTGCTTTGAGGACGCCGTATTGTCCTAGCCCTGTGCTAACTTCCTCTCCAGCCAGGCTTTTGATAGCCCGCTCTTTGCTTTTATTCTCTTTACGGATGTAATTTGCATCACTGACATCTTGACAAAGATAAAACCCACAGCCTCCCATGTCAGTCATTATCGGTGTTTTCTTCCCAGACAAACCTGAACAGCACTCATTTGTACCTCTCAGCTGGAAAATTCAGGCAAAATGAGATTCAGAGGAAGGAAAAGCGGCTTCCAGAGGGAGGGTGAGCAAACCTGAGATGAGTCCAGCTGCCTGGCCAGCGTCTGCTATTGGCTTCCCTGGGGAATGCTAGCCCCCCAGAAAAACCCAAGAAGCATCTTACGGATGGGCAACGTGGGCTGGGATGCTGGACGCTGCAGCTCATGTCTAAGGGCTACACCAAAGCCACGCTTCTCCATACCACTGCCAACTTCTCTGCTAACGCTGAACACAGGAGCACCCCCCTTCCACAGCGAGGCCGGGCTCCAATGGCCCTGTGATTACCATTTTAGGGACAAATTCTCATCTTGGTTCCCCAGGTGAAAATCCACAGTCAATCGACCCCAGAGGAACTCCAGCACCGGACCAGCTGCTCAGGAGCTGATGTTCAAATCTCCAAAGAGACTGAAAACTGCCGATCTGTAGCAATGAGGAGTCGTGCTGCCTTTCCCCTTCCCATCCAATTGCTAACAGGAGCAGTCAACAGTATTCAATACCTGCGTTTTTACAACTTCATAGATATTCCAAGACATTTCTTTTGGATCTGCCTGCCTGCCTCCTGTACATCAGCTTTGTGTTTGGGTTTAGTAGACCTCTGCTCCACGCACTATGTGCAGAGCTGTCCCGCTCCAAAGGGTTTGTATCAATACAGCAAGGTTACTCTTAATGCCTGGGTTGGTCTTTCTTAACAAGGGGACTTAGAGGTGAGCCCACCATCAGCCAGCTCTTTGCACTGCTTACCCAGGAATCCAACAGCGAACGAAGCGGCGAGTTTTCACCTCCTGGGGTGTCCGATCAGCACCTGGGACTCGGGAGGCACGAGCAGCACTGTATAAGCACCCTTTCTACATCGCTTCTTGTTGCTCCCAAGGCAAAGGGGAAAAGGGATGCCAGCACCCAGGGATCACGGCCGCTGCACAAGCGGTGCAGAGCCGGATCACCGCCAGCAACTCCCGGGACCTGTCAGGTGAGCATCAGGGCTGGAGCAGGGCACTTTCCCCATCACCAGCATGAAAGGTTCAATTAGCTCGCTCCGGCAGGAGGTGTATAATTTTAGATTCAGGATATCATCAGTCAATAGTTAATGAGTGAACTGATGAGAGTGCGAGATGCTTTAAGTGGACTAGCTTGAAGAGGAGGTGAGTGCCTGTAATCAGGGGCGGATTACTGCCATTCAGAGCACGCTGCCAGCTGGGTTTGCCTTCTAAAATACTTGCCTGGCTCCCCTCACCATGGAAACTGGTCGCAAGGAGCATGTCGAGGGGATTTGTTTGGTTTCTTGAGTGCTGATCTCTACTCTGGGCTGAATCACCCTTTACAAGTGGCATTTCAGGACAGTTGCTGCAGGAAAGGGGAGCAACCTGCATCTCCCCCAAAGGGTGCTTTACACAGGCTGTGGCAAGGGGCTCAGATACAGTGTCCACTGCTAAAGAAAACGGTCTCTCTGGCTTTTTGGAAATAGTTTTAGACCTACTGGTGCCATTTCAGTTGGAGAGCAATACCCTGTGAGTGATATCCACTGCAGGAGCAATATCTATCATGCAGAAGGGCCCATGTCCCCATATTGCTAAGGACCATACAGGGGTAAGAGATTAATTTGGCTGATTAATTCAGCCCAGGCTTTCTGCTGAGATGTACAAGTATGATAACAAGTAACAATGGTGTCTGTTAAGGCAAATAAATGCCCATGATGGGGCGGGAAACCATTGCAACCCATGCAGCTGAGGCCTCAGTTGAATATGCCCATGATGGGGCGGGAAACCATTGCAACCCGCGCAGCTGAGGCCTCAGTTGAACGACACCTTCTTGCCGCTCATCTGCGTGAGACACAGAGACACCCGCCCACCTGAGAAACCACGTGTCTAGAAAATAAGTCCTTTGACTGATACCATCAGAGAAGCAAAGTCAGCATCTGCCCAACCCATCACATACAGCCTGTGCAGCGGGCACAGCGAAGGGGGCCCCAACGCTCCCCAAGCCCCATGTTTGCTCACCTTGTACAACGAGCCTGCCCTGCGCGGTCCTTCGCACCCGAGTGCCGGGTTTGTTCGCAGCGCACACGTAGATGCCAGAATGCTGCACAGTGAGGTCCGAGATCATGAGATTTCCTGTCCCCAGCACCTGGATCCCCTCCACGCCAATCGGGCGGCCATCTGAAAGAAGGGGAAAAAGGCGAGAGTCACATGCTGGACCTCTGAGTGAGGTTCTCCAGGGCACAGTTCGTGGTGAGGTCCAATCTAAGTACTGATGGAGCGGTGCCACGCTCTGTTACTGGGATTTGCCAAGTCAAGTCAGTGGGTTTTAGCTGATGCTCTTAGCAGAACCGCCTTCTGGAGAAAACCAGGATCCTCAGGTGTTTGCCAAAACCCACACTTTGTGCTGCTTGGAAAACCAAGGTACCATCACAGGAAATGTGAAAGCTTTCAGCCACACGTTCAGATCAAGATGAAGCGCCCAGAATACTTTTCAACAGAATGGTTAAACCAAGTTGAATCATATCAGCTTCTTACATTAGACTGACCAGGAATCCAACCAGATCAACAGCCTGCTCCAGAGATACTTCTGGGAAGGAGAAGACCAGCCAACCTACAGCAGTACTTCCCTGATGAACATTCCCAGCCACCAGCAATTCACGACTTGGGGATTTCCTGAGCCAGAAGTTATGCCTTTTTGCCTGCTAACTCTTGATGGATTTTTGTGGCTTTGGAAACTATGCAAACACTGGACTTCTGATTCCTTAGCTCTTGAACACACAAGGGCCAAGGAGCCAGACTCTGAGCTGGTGGTTAGATCTGCTCAGCTGCTCTGGGAAGGGCAACTGGAAAGGGCTGCCTCCGTCCTGACTTGCTGGGTCTGAGGCAGGCTAGCAGGAGACCAGCGATGTTTCCAAAAAAATCATACCTGGTCTCCAGCACAAGGTCTTCAAAACTGAAGCGCTTAACATGAAATAGTTCAGTATCAGGGAATTCACCTTTTTCCAACAAAGCCTGTTTTCACTGGAAAATTCCCAGCCAGCTCTAATTACAATGTGTTTCATTAGTATCAGGCTATTGCTTTTTATTGTTTCATTGGTTTGTGTTTTAAGACACTGTCTGACAAAGGCAGCTCTAAATCAATCCTAGCATGTGTCAGGGTGTCTGAGCAGAGGGGCAAGGCAGGGGAGCAGTTTTACTGGAGGAGCAGTTAAAGGGAGCACACTTTCATCAGATGGGAAACAGGAATCCAGTCCCATTCTCACCTTTGCTCATGGAGGAGGTTAAAGAACCCACAGAAACGAGAGAAGCAAGAACCAGCCCTGGTGATCTCCCCACCTGACCATCCCACGAGCCTGTGCTCCACAACAGCAGAAGAACCCAAGTCTTGTGCTTCAAAGGTGTGGCTAGTAAAAGGAAAAATTAATCTCAAAAATTCCTCCTGGGAGATCTATTGGTTTGTGCCGTAATCTTGCTGAGGAAATGGAAGAAGTCAAATAAACCCATAACAGTTCTGTAGGAAGCAATGGGTCATAGGGAAGACCTGGGATGCCTTAGCTGCTTTCCACTCCTGTGGGCAACCTCCTGAGAGATGAGAGGCAATGGCTGTTCAACCTGCTTTAAAATTTATCACCATCCATTGGGCAGAACAGCTTCCAGGGACGTTTAGTGCTGAAGGACGTCAGACTCAGGCTGGTTACCAATATTCATGGCATGCCACCACTTCAAGTGGCTGCATCTGGTGTAATCTAGCAACGGGGAACCTTCATGGAAAACACAGAGGGAAAAACAAGTTGCCACAGGGCTGCTGCAGTCGCCCCGAGACACTCCATTATCCCCAAGGATCTCCTTCATAGACTCTGCTGTACAATAACATGGCCCCTGACCGAGACCCAGCTCATGCCTGACCTCGGGCACGCTTCATGCTTCAACACAGACAGGCAGGCAGGGCTAGTCAAAAGTTATCTTGCAATCGTATGCTTGAGATGTAACATCATGTTTTGCATAATAAAGACTATGATGAAGATTTGGGCCATTCATAACCAACAGGTTCTGGAATAGATTGGGAAAGCGCAAAGGCACGCGAGGGACAAATTAACCATCAACCCAGAAACACCACTTTGCAAAGTGCTGCCCAGCAAGCGTTTGGATCCCCACCGAAGGGCACGTCCATCAGCTTGCAAGCCTGGACCAGGCAAGTGAGGAATCCCATTTCAGATTAACAGCAGCATCCTGCTAGGAAACACCAGCAAAACATGGACGGAAAGCTACAAAACGTATCTCCTGCCATGATCTTTATATATTGTTTTTCAGGAAATTTTTAAACTTAAAGGTTTCCTTGCTTCATTAGGCAGGCAATGCCAGACCACTTCATTATTTGCATTGCAAAGAAAAATGCTCAGGTCTTTCAGAGAGAGAAAAACAATGTCATTAAACGATTAAATGATCACATAGCTGGCCAAGCCACTGCAGCAGTAAATGGCTCAGCCATAAAAAGGACAGTAAAACATGACCTGTCCCGCATTTAATGAGCAATAAGAAGGAACCATTCCTTTCAAACATCATTTGAACTGAAGTGTAAAGAGGTCTGAATTAAATTCAAATTGAACTTGATTTCATCTTTTAAATTAGACCTTTTGGAAGTCCATATTTACAATAGGCGTAAAAATCAAATCTCTCTCTCGAGGGAGGGGCGGGATGAGTGAGAGATGCAAAGTGGCCATACCTGGATGCTTCATCACATCATTGCCTTAAGAAATACCACAGAAATGTGACTTGAATGTCAGTAGTTTTACTGTATTATTTATAGCGTGCTATATAATTTAAGCATGCAAAGACCCAGCCTGCAGCAGGTACTCCACACAGTCCAAATACCAGCATCGATACGTCCTCAGCTGCCTCTCTAGCTCCAGCTATTAATTAGAGGTGCGGTGGTCTGAAGAAACGTCTCCTGTCAACCAAGCATCTTTCATTTCCCTGAAGAACAAAGCTCTCCGAGCTCAGAAACCTCGGGGGAGCTGCCATTTGATTCAAAGAGTGTGGCCACCTCTAACAGCCAGCAAAGATCACCGTGCCACATCATCCCATCTGCCTCTTGCTCAGTATCTCCCTTCCAAAGAGCACTGAAAAGGGCTTCCAGAGAAAGATCTCTGCTTTCCCAGCCTGCTCCATCCTCCTTCTTACTTTACGGTGCCTCACTTAACCTGAGCCATCCTGTGATCAGTTAGAAGGTCTTCGGCCAATATCAAGTCCAACTTAGTAACACTAACAACACATATAAATAGTACTGGTTTTATTATAAAAAATCATTACATCCTGGAAGCTCAGCACTTTGCAGAAGTGCTGTGCAGAGGGACTGATGTCTTGCACTTCCTTTGCAAAGGTTGATTCCTATTCCAACCCTGTTTCCCTTACACGGAGACCTGAAGAGCGGCTTGGATCAAGGGTTCCAAACCCTGAAAACCCACCTTCCTGGCATCGTTTGCCATCACCAAGTCACCTCTCCATAGAGAAGGTCTGAAAGACTGCCAAAGCCAACACTGTTGCTCAGTTCCCAAAGCTCTCAGGACCCATGCAGGCTTGAAACTGCTGCTCTTTTCTTATGAAGTCAAAAGCAGAAAATTTGAGGGCTGAAAACAAGCCAGTCTCGGTGGAAATGACAAATTCTCTCTGTCGATCCCTGATTGATGAGGGCAGAAGGGGGAGGTTCAGCTGGTTGTGAAGAGCAGATGGACAACTGACTGATAAAGGAGACCATTCTCCAAATGGGAGATGCTCCCAAAGGATGCCCTGGCTATGGACAAGTAGGGGGCTTCCAGGTTCTCCATTGGGGTGAAGTCTGGATGAAAGATGCCTGAGGTTTGGGAGCCGCATTATTTATTTTTCCGAGGTGTATGTGATGCCTTCTGGAGTCTGTTCTCCGCCTACTAACCAAGTGATTGGCACACCGGCACCAATTACGGAGACCCGTAAAAACGTGCCAGGCGATATGAATATGCAACAACGTGAACGCCTTTCTTTTATAAGTAGCAAGTAGAAAGAAAGTAACAACTTTCTAATGTTGATCATTTAGGTCTTTTGTGAATTCTTTGTATTGTGCCATAGTAGCCTTCCACTTTTTAGACACATGGGTCTCCTGCTCCGGCGGACACTGGGCACTGTGGATTAGCATATTTAGAGTACATTGCAACAGTTGACTATTCAGTATGTGAAGTGGTGAAATTTACTCTATTATTTCTAAACACTTACGGGAACGGTGCTCCTGTCAACCAGTCAGCCATCTATTGCAAGCTTCTGTGTCCAATAAGTTACCAATTAATTGGCTCCTACAATTGTTGTATAGTTTACTTCTTGAATGGCGCTCTCTTTAGTAATTTCCTTCCCATTGTGCGACCCTTTCTGACAACTTCTGTATAACGCTATCAGATAATCACTGTCTTTTCTCTCTCGCCTCACTTTTCTACATCTCTCTAAATAGTTTATTATTCTGCCTTGGTACCTTTTATGGAGGCCAGCTCAGTGGCCTGTCAGTTAAAGGGTAAGGATACATTAAAATCGTCATTCATTCAAAAGGCTTTGCAGTAAGTGCCCAGGATATTCATTTGTGCACACATACAGGTCCAAGCCTGAAGTGCGTAGCTCTGAAAGGAAAAGCCCTATCTTCCCTGAACAAACCCTTAATGATTTTACATTTCTCTCAGAGCCTGCTCTCTAATGAATGTTGACATTTCATGCACGGCGAGACACAGGAATTCTGTTTGTGGTCAGGGGCTACAACATATTCCCAAGGAAATTAAATTCAAAATTGATTGTGTGACACTCAAAAACCGGTCCAGAATTTGAATTATTTCCTTCAAGCAAAATATAGCTGCCTTTCCCGCTGAAAACCGGCCAGGTTTTAGCAAAGCCAAAGCAAAAAGTGCAGATGTTGTTTATGGCTTGCTTGCCCCTGCACCAGAAAGCTGTAAAAGCAAAATTGTTCTTCTGCTCCTTTCTGATGGAAGAAATGCCACAACATCAAAACTGTGAGCAAAGGGGTTCAGAGAGACACTCCAAAGCGGCAGCACGCCCTGTGCAAAGAGCCGGCGTAGTGGCAATGCCACGACTCTTCTTTCTTTTGACCCAGCAAGAAAGATGTTCACGTATAACTGACTTTTGGTTTTGTTTGAATTAAGTCAGGCCTATTGCTAAATGACCTGCAACTCTCTAAGACTTTGTGGCCATGGATTTTATTTTTATTTCTGGAAGTGGATGAAAATGGTATTTTTTCCAAGTTGAGCAAGTTAACTGGTTATTGAAGCTGAACCAGCTCTGTAGAAGGAACCTCTGGAAGGAGACCTCACACCGAGGAAGCCACGTGTACAGAGGACAGATGCTCGAGGACCTCCCCGTCCAGCCTAAACACCTCTCCCTCCTCCTGATCACACAGAAACATGAGAGCGCTTCTGAAACGGCTACAAAGAGATGACAAACCCATCAACTCATCAGAGAGCCCACACGCCACATCGCTGTCGAGATCGGTGTAATACTAACCAAGATCTTGCAATGCTTTGGACAGGAAACATCCCTGCTGAAGGGGAGGGAAAATAATAGGATCTCCTCCTCATTCAGCAGCAATACTCCTGCTACTGCGCTGCAAAGCAGCGTGGAGAGGGCGTTTATTTTTGGCAGAAGGCAATGCTGAGCTCAGGCCATCCAGGCAAACATCACACGAAGCTATTACATCTTCATTATTGCACTGCTCTACAGAGACAAGTGTTTTGAAGAAGGTAATAAGCACTTATAATTAAGGCAATTATAAAGTAGTTTATTATAGTTGAGCGCTAACATAGAGCCGCCTTGTGTCCAAGAGAACCAAAACAGTGATACAGCCTATCTGGGGAATTTTTAAAACAGCATCAATCTGATGGTTATGGCTCTGGAGGAAAAAAAAGCAGTTAGTGGCAGCCACAAGCTGATTTTACAAGCCACCAGAGGATGCAGGCAGGAGGGCAAACATGGAGAAACTGTGCGATTGATGCTGGATAGGTGTCCTCGTCCCCTGGCAGATGGCTCCGGAGTGGGAAGTCGCCCTTCCCACAAGTCGGACCCTGACCGTCGGAGAGCCATGGGGATGAAGTCCCACATCCAGCACAGTGGCACAAGACAGGATTATCCCTGTTTGTGCTTCACAGCCAACGTGGGGGACTTGGGGAGATTAGCATCCCAAAATGACGTGACCTCGCAGACCACAAGGGCTTGGGAAATACTAACTGAACCCAACCCCACAGTGCACACAGGCAGGGTCACAAGCTCCGGAAGGTAAAACAAAAGCCATCAGCTCTTTGCTCAGCACACATTTCTGCAGGGCGATGGAAGCGTCGCTCTGAGCAAAATAGTTTCTGAGCTAGGATCACAAAGTTAGAACCTAGAATAACCCTTGCTTTCAGACTGGGAGAAACACGGCACTTCCCTCCTTCTCGCTCATATGATGCCATCAGACGCTGCCTCTGGTTTCCATGCTGATTAAAAAGAAATATCACGGACCCCAGCAGCAAGCATCTGTTTTTTCAGAGCTTCAGCCACGCCACTTTAAACACTCCCTTCCCCTCAAAATTTTTTTAAAACTCCCTGAACAGGCAGCAAGCTTCTTTCAAGTCTGTTTTACGTGAAAGATGTGTTTGTGTAAGCTTTTGCTTCCCTAGGCCAACAGTGGTGATAATTTTGATGCAGCTGAAGAAGATGCTGTCACTCAAGAAAAGATAAAATTATCACCTTTCACGAAACATCTGCAGGTTTAACCAACCCACTTCTCTAACGGGTGAAAACAGGATCTTGGCAGAGAGAAAAAACAAAAGTGTAGACAGGAGGATAAAAAAGCACTTCAAGCCTACAATTAACTTCAACGGGAAGGGAAAGGGTGAATCACTTGTTGCATAAAATAGTCAGTGGCACCTACCTATTTCCCACGCGACGGCAACGGAGAGGAGGAGGAGGAGAAAATCCCGGTCACCCCCGGGGCTTACCTAGTCGGCTCCAGGAGACGATGGGCCGGGGATTACCCGTTGCGATGCACTCCAACACGGCTGTCTGGTGCACCGTCAGTGTGAGGTTCTCCGGACCGACGAGAATCATGGGGTCCTTGTAAACGGAGGAGCGGGAGCCTGCAAGGACAGCACCATCATTAAAAGGCATCTGATTCTCTCTTGTTTAATGGCAGCACCGAGGGCTTCACGCAGCCTCTACAAATGATGTGGCTGGTGTAATCCTCCATAAATTTGAGATGTACATGGAACAGAAGGAACGCAATGTTTGCCTGACGGTCACGTTGCCTGAATGTATTTTAAGTGTGCGCTGATATTCCCGGGGAAAAGCCAACCGACCCAGCCACAAGCAGCCCTGTTAACACCCAGACACGGGCAGCACAAAGAAGGTACCACGCTGTGAACTGCCCAGAGCACACGTGCAGGGAAAACACGGTACATAGGGAGGACATAAGCTGCAGGACAGCTCATGCAGACAGGAATGCAAATAAATGAAGGAGTTGCTTTATCTTGCAGCATCTCAAGCCATAAAGCAATCCATGCAGTCCACAACGCCTAAATCTGCCTCTCTGGGAGCATCCTCTCTTGCTGCTGGTGTCATTTGCTCCAAAAGCCCTCTCCTGGGACACAAAAGAGTGATGGAGGTGCCAGTCCCTGACTCCTGCTGAGTATCTTTTTTGAGAGAAAACTCAAGGAAAACTCCTCGGATGACTGCAGCCCACAGGGTGGGCATTGCCTGCCTTTTACAGCACCCCTGGCCTGGCCTGCTCCGGTGTAACTGGGTGCCAGGAGAGGATGCTTCCCATCGCTCCGATATAATCGTGATACAATGATTGTATTGAATGGAGTACTGCGTCCAGCTCTGGAGCCCTCAGCACAAGAAGGACTTGGAGCGGGGCCAGAGGAGGGCCACAAAAATGATCCGAGGGCTGGAGCACCTCTCCTATGAGGACAGGCTGAGGGAGTTGGGCTTGTTCAGCCTGGAGAAGAGAAGGCTGCGGGGAGACCTGATTACGGCCTTTCAGTACATAAAAGGGGCCTATAGGGAAGATGGGGAAAATCTTTTTAGTAGGGCCAGCTGTGTCAGGACAAGGGGTAATGGTTTTAAACTAAACCAGGGTAGGTTTAGACTAGATATAAAGAAGAAATTCTTTACAATGAGGGTGGTGAAACACTGGAACAGGTTGCCCAGAGAGGTAGTGGAGGCCCCATCCCTGGAAACATTCCAGGCCAGGTTGGACGGGGCTCTGAGCAACCTGATCTGGTTAGCGGTGTCCCTGTTCACTGCAGGGGGGTTGGACTAGATGACCTCTAGAGGTCCCTTCCAACCCAAACCATTCTATAATTCTATGATTCTATGATTGCTCGCGACGCAATCGCTAATTGTTTATTTGCACTACAGTAGCACCAAGTGGCAGCAACCAAGAATGAAACCCATAGCACGAGAAGAGGCACAGACCTGTAATAAAATACAGCCCTAGCGCAGGGACTCTGGAAACCAGGCAGGCACAGGGTAAGCAAAAGAAACCACATTTCACCAGACACGAGGAGACTGCGGGACAAAAACATCATCCTGTGTCAGGGACACCCCAGCTGAACCTCTATCTCCCAAATCCCCCAAAAGTCCCTCATTTTGGGGCCAAAAGCTCCCTTCAGCCTTCACTCCCATTTGTTGGGAGCGGGAAAGGAGGAAAAGAAAGAGATATTCTCGGTTCTCCCTAAGTAAATAGGAACACTGATAATCCCTGCGTTAGCCTTCTCCCCATTTCCGACGAGAGCCGGGTTATGCTCTAGAAATGCTGAGGTCAAGCAGTGCTTAAGGAATTTCAACAATCTGACAGCTGCTGCTGGCAAAAATGCTCTGTACACCTGTGGAGAGAAATACTTGGGCTGGTCGTGTCCCCCCCACCCCGAGCAGGAGAGGGGCACGGGGAGGGCTGGGGAGCTGAGCTCTGCCACGGGCTGGGCTTTGCTGTAGAGACTACCCCATGTTGCCTCCTGCACAGGGACTTCCCCACGTCCAAAAAACTTGTTAAAGAGAAGCGATCCACCAAAAACTATCTGCAAGGGCTTTTCTCCAAGAAAAAAAAAAAAAATTCTTTCCTTCCCAGGCTTTTTAGCATTACCCTTTCACAGCAGCTCAGGGGCTGAAGCAGGGTGTTAGCAGGGGGATTTCGCAGTGGTCCAAGGGCAAGCACAGATCAGAGCGGCTCGTTTGTTAATCGCTCCTACAGGGGCTAAATGGGGAGCGATAAAGCGACTCAGAGGTTGTGTCTAAATGGGCAAAATCCAAGAAAAATCACCGTGTCAGTGTGACTTAAGAGCTGACTTTCTCACTAAACGCATTTCACTGCACGCCATAAAATGCAGATTTTTTGATGAGAACCAGAATGCACAATAAATTCATATGACTGGCTGGTTAACCCCAAGAGATCTGAAAAACAATACCTTCCCCCTCAGTACCTCGGAGTGCCTTTAAACCCCATGTAGATTTATTGTTCTAAATCACAATACTAAATGTTCACGCTTAGAATAATACGGTATTATCATCGGATTGTATAGCAATTTCAATATTTCAAAACACAAGAGAAATGAAATGAATTGTCCAAGGTCACCCAAGAATATCAGTAAACGGGAGCTGAGACCAAAGCAGAATTTATAAAACATTCTATTCTGACAATAAAATATATATATATTAAAAAGTCACACTCTGATTTATACTGAGTCCTAAACAGACAGTCAGGTTTTCGGGTGTGGGCTCAGCTCCCTGAGTTTGGCCAAACCCTGTCCAGCTCTGGAAGCGGCATTTCCACCACCATTCACCTTCTCCTGCAGAGGCCACGTAATGGTCCCGTAGCTTTGCTGCTGAGCTCGACGCCCACGGCAGTGCCCGCTCCGGGGCCAGAAGGGACGGTGACCCAGCAGGGACATGGTGGTCAGATGCCAGCACCATGCAAAGGGGCTGACCATCGAGGAGGAGATTTCCTTCTCCAACTAGAAAAGCTCTTTGATGCAGGGTCAGGAAGGAAGGAGTGACAAAAGAAGGGACTCATGGCAGGCAAGCGCTGCTGGAGCACAGCAAGGTCCAGGGCAACGCGGGGGGGATCTGTTTTGAAAGGGAAAAAGGCTCTAATGATGCACATGGTGCCCAGGGACCCTGCCAGCAGCTATCGCGGCGAGGATGGGGAGGTCCCCGGCACCGCCAGGAGTGACAGGCACTCTAGCAGGGATGGGAGCATCGCCGGCATGGGCTGTTAGATCTTGATCAAAAGGACAGCAGCCAAGAGAGCGGCAGCTCGTGCTGAAAAGGTGTCAGCGCAGAGAGGCAGGCAGCCCCTCGGGAGCATCTCCGCTAAGCAGGCACTTGAAAATAATCAATCAGTAGGGCTAGAAGACATATCTGTGCCGCTCGCTGCCGGCAGCCCTGCCACCGCTGCTGGCGAGAGGAAGGGAAGTGCTGCGAGCAGGCTCCTTCATCCCCCGCAGGCAGCCATCCTCCTCCTCTCCTCCAGCTGGGCTGTGGCAGTGTCCTGCAGGGCAGCGGCTGAAGTTGCTGCCCCATTGAGAGGAGAGGGAACCCTCCTGCCACGAGGCAGAGCAGAGAACACCATTCCCGTTACCCCTCTATACAAGAGGGAGGCTACGGAAAGATTTGCAAGATGACTGCTTACCCCATCGTGCCCAATAACATGTGCACAACAGCACCCACGTTAGTTCAGTATTTACTGATACAACACCCGGGCCAGTGAAGCAACATTCCCATGCTACCTCTGCCGGCACCCCATAGCCTCTGCTGGTGTGCCAAAGCCTGGGGTTAAAGCCTGGTCCTGCTCTAACTGATACTTGCCTGCTCTTAGAATCACAGAATCATAGAATCACTTTGGTTGGAAAAGACCTTTAAGATCATCGAGTCCAACCTTTAGCCCAACCCTGCCATCCCACCACTAAACCATGTCCCTAAGAGCAAACACCACTGAGCATAAACCTGTTTCCCTGAGGTTTAACCCAGTGCAAGGGGTTGTTCCATGGGCTGCCAGCATGTCAAACATCCTGTTACGGCAGCTCTGCTGACACGCAGTCGCTGAAGCATGGCCCAAGCCCTTCAACAGACACTTACACACGGTGCCCGTATTCATCATCCCACTGCTTTAAGGAAGACAAAACCCACAAACATTTCACAGACAGGAAACCTGGAAAATATCCATCTGAAATGAGGGATGGTTGGATGAGAACAACTAGCACTTTCTGCCCTGTGAGAAATAATAACTCAGACCAGTAAACTGCCACAAAGAACTTCACCGAGTTGATAATTTACTGGTTTTTTTCCCCTCCACATGGCTACTGTTTGCATAGATCAAGAAAACAGGTAGGTAACAGGCATCAAAAGCTCCCAGGTTTCAGGACCAGTTAGCCTGCTTTCCTCGCCCACCAGAGCTGCTGCACGCAGCATCGCTCTTTCCTCAGCTTCACCCCATTTCACACGTTCTGCTTTTTTACAGTCGGCAGAGGCTGATCTGACATTCGGTACAGGCAGGGGGTCTCCTACTTCAGGAACCACTGGCCCGGCGGCCGTTTTGGAGGCTGAAGGCAGGCTGTGAGATATGGGCAGCCGCTGGCAAGCCTCCAGCCACCGGGCACCAGCAACTGTGTGGGTCTGATGGACAGATGGATCCCAGCTCACGGGGCGGGGGAAGACCCTCTGCTGCAAATGAAAAACACTCACAGAGAAACGCACACCCCAACCAGCCCAGTGCAGAGTTCCCTTGCTGCTTATCTCCAAAACTGTCACCGCCATTTCCCCAGGGAATCGAGGCTGGTCCCCTAACCAAGAGCCACAGATGCAGCGCCACTGCTGTCACAGGGGACCACGGCAGGTGCCCAGCATCCCAGGAGGGTTCTGACCTGCACAGAGTTCTGCATCTCAGAGGCCACCCTGCCAGCAGGACACAGCCACAATTTGCAGGTGACTACTTCTTTGGAACTCTCATCTTCTCTGAAGGTAACCCACCAAGGCTCTGAAGTCCAGCAGAAGCAAGCCATCCTTTTTTCTTACAAGGAGGTTGAGCATATCAAAGGCATTTCTAAGAAGAGGGCACAAAGGTGTCATCCACTCCTGGCTACTTGATCAGGCTGGATTGTACAATTGGACTTAATACTTCCCGTTTCCTTCATACTAGGAGCAGCTACTGAAACATCAAGGGAGACTTCTGAAGCTAAAAGTGTTTTAAATGAAAAAAAACTGACAAACGAAGAAAGCCCAACCAGAAGGTGACAATCTAACATCAGGTTTAGAAATTGGCTGATGAGTTATTGCTCTAAGGAGCTCCAAGAGATCAGCTTGGGTCCCACAGGGACACCTAATGGAGGATGGGCGACGGGCAGGTCAGCAGAGGGTAGCACAGCTACAGAAACGTGGTTGCCGCGTATTTGCACGCTCATCCTTCCTTCACCATGCCCAAGGTCATCACTTCCACGTGACATTTTGTGTGCTTTCACAAACAGGCCAAACTTGTGCACGTGCCAAGTGTGGATGTGGGGTGCTTTGGTTTGCCCTTAGAGCTTCATCCCATCCTACCTCTGGCAGCACAAGACCAAGCGGCAAGTATCTGATTTTGGTCCTTTTTTTTTGGAAAGGAGACCATAAGGCACCATCATTTCTTCAGCTGGAGCTTTCAGATGTGAAAACCTCTCTCTGCCACTGCCTTCAAACGTGGATGGAGAACCAAGCCAAAATTCAGCCTGGGTTGCTCAGGGCTTCTCCTTCTCGCCTTCCAAAGCAAGGTTAGCCCTCTCTGGTTGCAATGCAATGCTAACAGCCTACAGAACATAATTCCCCCATTAGATAAATAATTGATCACCCTGTGTGCTGCAATTACTTCCAGAGTGGGCAGGTCTCATAAGGAAATGATGAATCTTCCACATTTCCAAAAGAATTTATGTAAAGCTGCTGTAACTCATTTTCTCACCGTCCTCCCTCTACGCAGAAACTAGTGCTAATTTACAGGCAAAGAGGCAGATTTATCTGCTATCAAATGGATTGATCTGGCAGGAACTAATAACAATCTGGAACAAGCGAGGCGCGCTGGCTGGACAGAGGGATGCTCCTCAGTGCTGCTGTTAGGATAAAGCTGTCTTAAACTGTCCTGGTCCAGACCAGCACTGGGAAGAAGAAGATGGAAGGACAGTCAGGAGTGCGTTCACTGGTACTAACCTGACACGGTGAGTCTGGCCTCCCGGCTGAACTTCACGTTAGCAATATTGGTAGCAACGCAGTGAAAAATCCCACTGTCTTCTGCCCTCAGCCCCGTAATCTGGAGGACCCCCTTGGGAAGCAGCGTGTACCTGTGGGAAGAGAAAAGGAGAAACAACAACTTGCAAAGCAGGACATGATGTGGAAGCAGGCTGCTCACCCACCCGGGTGAGGCAGGCTGGCTCCCCGCGTCCCGGTGCCAAAACCACCCGAGTGATGCAGTCCCCGCCAGGCTGAGCCCACGCTTATCGCTGCATCAGTTCCTTTATTGTCCCCAGAAATAGCTTTTTTTTTTTTTTTTTTTTTTTGGATATTTGAGCTTCTGGTCCTCTTTGACAGGGGACATGTTCCCTTTCTTTATCTTCTGATGCACCCTTGAGAAAGGATGACTTTTGCTGGCAGGCTACAAAGTAGGTGCTTCTTCCTTAACCTGCAGAAAAGCTTTGGCAGCGTGTTTGCGTGAGAACGCAGCTGAGGTGGGAGTTA